ATGCCATTGTTAATAAGTTGAATATTGATTCAGCACCTGGAATCGATGGAATTACCACCCCTTTTTACAAATTTTTCTGGAGCAAACTGAGGAAACCTTTATTTACAAACTTCCAGCAGTGTCTAGAGACGGGAGAGTTATCTCCCACTCAAAGAAGAGGCGTTATTTCTTTATTACATAAAGGGAAAAATTTACGAAGGGACAATATAAAGAACTGGAGACCGATAACGTTAACAAACACGGACTACAAAATCTTCTCCAAAATATTAGCTATACGGCTACAGCGTGTTATGCCAATTTTAATAAATGAAAACCAAACTGGCTTCTTGAAAGGCAGGTCCATTTCGGAGCACATTAGGACACTTGACGACATTATCTACGTAGCATCTGAAAAAAATCTACCAGGTATGGTGGTATCTCTGGATTTTCAACGCGCATTCGACACTGTAGAAAAGGGAACAATATTGGCCACATTGAAAAAGTTTAACTTTGGAGAAGGATTTATAAATATGGTGGGAGTTTTAATGGCTAACACAGAATGTTGTGTACAAAATGGGGGATGGTTGTCAGAATGGCTCAACACAGAGCGAGGAATAAAACAAGGTTGCTGCACAAGTCCACTTCTTTTTGTACTTGTTGCTGAGTTGATGTCAATAAAGTTAAGAAACAATAGCAGCATATCTGGAATGAGCACAATTTTGTCAGGGGAAATAATTAATTTTTGCAAAGTTTTGCAGTATGCTGATGACACCACTCTGATTCTAAAAGACCAAGAAGACCTTGCTTCAGCCTTGTTGGACATCGATTCTTTTGGTAGCATCTCTGGGCTCAGGCTGAACAAGGATAAATCACAAGGTATGTGGATTGGAAGTGATAGAACACGCACTGAAAAATTAGGAGGAATCAGTTGGGTCCCTAATGGGAATACAATTAAGATACTAGGTATTCACTTTAGTGCAACAGAGGAAGCATCTCGCATAGAACTTAATTGGATAGACAAAATAGAAAATATGAAAAATATCATGAAAATGTGGATGAAAAGGAATCCATCCCTATATGGGAAAGTAATTATTTGTAAAACCTTTCTGCTGTCTCAAATATCCTATATAATTCAGTCACTATCTTTACCCGAAAGAGTTTTGAATACAATTGATACTTTGTTCTTTAAGTTTCTGTGGCAGAAGAGGCACTCAAACAAGAAAGCACGCGAGAAAGTAAAAAGAACGGTAATGTGTAGATCGATTGAGGAAGGAGGTTTGGGTGTTATAAGTGTTAAAGATCAACAGAAAGTTTTTCTATTAAATTGGTTAAAACGTATGGCAACTGTTACCGAAGGCAGACCCAACAATATTCCCAACAGAATTTCAGACTTAGCTTTTACGGAGGTAGGAGGGTGTGATTACTTTTTTTCGGCTACAGCAAACTGCAAGAAAACGGGAAAATTGTGTCATGCCTCTAAGTTCTGGGAGAGTGTGATGGATACATGGATCGAAATGGCTTCTATAAAAAAAGAACCAAGCTCCACGATAGAGATACTTATGGAACCTTTGTTCAATAACCGAAACATAAAATATAAAGGAAAATCATTGTACCTAAAAAGATGGATGAACTCGGGTATAAAATATGTATATCATCTGTATGATAGGAGAATATTAAAAAGTAAGGAGGAATTGTCTCATATCACAGGGACATATGCTGCCTTTGATTTTGACTATTATGCGTTGATGAATGCTCTTCCTACACAGTGGAAGCAAGACGTCAGTGACAACAACACCGAGGAACTTTTGGTAAATACCAGAGAGGTAATAAATACGAATGGTAAGAAAACTGTTCTAGAGATACTGAGCAAATCGAACAGAGAGATCAGACAACTTCTAAAATACAGAAGACATGCAGAAATTTGTGGTCGGAATTTTTGGATGAGAAAAATGAACATTGACATAACATGTAAATACAACATAGCACACAGGTCAACGAAAGAATCTCGACTTAGATTATTGCATTTTAAAATCCTCCATAACATCTTCCCAAGTAACATTCTTCTCAATCGCCTAGGCATTAAAAATACTGAACTATGTGAGCACTGTGGTGTCAAAGACGTTATTGAGCACATGTTTATTCATTGTACCTTATTAAAAAACTTCTGGAAATACGTATTTCATACGATTTGTCTCAAAACTTCCTCCCGTTTTCCCATGACTGACTGTAACATACTTTTTGGTTTCAGTGAACGAGGGCAAGGTGTAACAGAAGCCCAGTTAAACATCGCTAACCACATTCTTTTGATCGCAAAGATGTGTGTTAGCAAGTTACGCTACAGCAAAGCGACAAATATACAAATCTTGTTTGAATCGGAGCTGGAGCTGAGAGAAAGTAGGTGGTCGTAAAGCTCATCGATAGCACCTGCGGTGGTAAGATAAAATATATATATATATATAAATATCCTGTTTCCAGCAGCTCATATCTGAAAGAAACGGATGGGAAAAGTGTGGTTTTACTTTTTTTTAAAATTAAAAAAATATCTATATACTTTTCTGGCAGTATATTGCATGATAACATTGTTCAATACCCCATTAGACAAAGTTAACGGACGCCTTATGTTTGGGAGAAAAGATGGCCAGTCTCTATAGTATAACCATTCCCTCAGCACCCTACTCATCATAATAATAATGTTTAACTCTTCATGGACGACCTCTCTCTCTCTCTCTCTCTCTCTCTCTCTCTCTCTCTCTCTCTCTCTCTCTCTCTCTCTCTCTCTCTCTCTCTCTCTCTCTCTCTCTCTCTCTCTCTCTCTCTCTCTCTCTCTCTCTCTCTCTCTCTCCCGTCTTCTCCTAATCCACGTCTTACTTTCCTTTTCCCTCCCTACCTCCCTCCCTTTCTCCTGTTCCTCTCTCTATTTCTTTCCTTTTCCCTCCCTACCTCCCTCCCTTTCTCCTGTTCCTCTCTCTATTTTTCTCTCTCTCTCTTTCTTTCCTTCTCTCTGTCTCTGTCTCTGTCTCTGTCTCTGTCTCTCTCTCTCTCTCTTTCTCTCTCTCACACACACACAAACACACACACACTCACACACACACACACACACACACACACACACACACGCGCGCGCGCGCGCAAGCACACACACACAAAACACACACACACACACACACACACACACACACACACACACACACACACACTCGTCCACTATTGTCAGACTGTCAGTACTAGATCTATATGTTATTATCTAGATTTAGCTGGTAGCATATACACAGTTAATGATTTGTCAAATTTAAGATTCATTTTCAAACGTCATTTTGGAAATTACACAAATGTATGACGAGACCGTGTAGATGCAGACACAGGGTGCTTGATTGGGGAGTTTGAGGCCGCTCCCCCCGAGGCGAGGGGATACAATATTGTGTGTAAATTGTTCCCTCTCGACTCGGGTTCGAGGATCCTGTGTCGGAATCTCCGCAACTTCATATATAAATAAGTATAAAGTCTTTAACCCAATTGTGAATTGCTGCCTGCAAACCCCTTACGAAACCCCAAAAATAATCTCTACCACTGTACTAGCTACCTACTAAGGTCCTCTCTTCACTTGTCTTGGTCCGCTAGAATAGGCTAATACTAACAAGGTCACCATAGCAGAGACTGTGCCCACCATTTCGGAACTTCACGGTGACATTAAAGATGGTTCCAGTAGGGAACGGGATAGCGGGTGCCCACATCCCTCGTGACTCATCAGAGCAGAGGAAGATAGGACTAACGCTAACATTATTTTTTTTTAAACAACAACAATCAAATAACAGAAGCATGTTTTCTTATAATTATAAACGTAAGCACCATCCCACATCATCACTTACCACCACCATCACCGTCATTTCTAAGGTCATCATTGCTCTCAGATCCTTCACAAACATCTATAATTATCTTAAACATCTATATGTAACAGTTATATGTCATAACAAATTTGTACGTTATACATTATTGGGCACTCTCATACGCACATTTTTCTACTAATCAGATGGCGTCAATATCATAGACATGGGCAAGGGACCAAAAAAAAAAAAAGATTTACTACGTAGGTGTCTTGTAGACAAAGAAGATAAACCTTTTTCTTCATTTTCAGCAGCCAGTTCTCGTGTTTTTGGGATGGATTTGCGGGTTGGGATGGGAGTGGGTGTGAGGAGGTGTTAATTACTGGTTTCACCCCATTCATTTAAACAAGTCTTGAACACTGCAACTAGTTAGTGTAAAAGAAATAGTTACTCTTGTAATTGCTTTTGGTAATGAAAAGGTAGACTTGTGAGTTATTGTAACTGATGAAATATAATATCTGTCTTAAAAAATTAGTCGAAGTCACCCCTTAATTTAACAGTGACAAATGTTAGTTTCTTTTGTACCACTCGAAAAGCAAAGCAGATATTCATATAAGAAACCTTTTACGAGCAAAGAATAATTTCGAGTTACGAGTAGACAAAACATTTATATAGAATTACTTTGTTCATAAACCCGCACTCTAACACATCTATAATTGTCGCTAAGAACAGACATACTGTTACAGAGACTGTAAAGCACATTATTATAGCTTGCCTTTCGGGTGGAATTTGGGCTAAACAATAATTGCTAGGGAACATGTCATAATAATAATATATCATAGTATAAAAAAAATAATTGGCCAGATAAACGTAGACTGAAACCGTCACTTTGAAGAAAACTGTAATTTGTTCTTAAAACGTGGAAAGCTGAACAAAGCCAGGCGAAACACTGATGTAAATAAGGCAAGTTGAGCGTCTCAGACAACATTCTTTCTGTATTTCTTTTTTATTATTGAAGGGACACCTTCAACAATGAAGTGAAGCATATCTGTGAGCATCATACCATTCCAGGCCTTCCTGGTCTTTGTTTATTTTGAATTGTGCAATTGAGAAAAAAAGCTATACTAGTAAATAAACATTATGTGCGTAAAAAACCCGTGCGTAGAAATAGACTCATCCTAAGCTCCCCTACAGCATAAGATGGTATCGTCCACGTCTGGAACAATTAACCATGTCACTTTCTCTTCGAATGAGAATACGATGGAGGCCATGACGCCTTCTTCCGTTAAGTTTGTACCTTTTCTCAGTAATGAAGAGCGGGGAGCCATAGCAATACTGAACTTCGTGGTCATCTGTGGACTTGTCAGTTTGATGGGCATTGTAGCCAACGTCATCAATATAGTGGTATTTGCGAAGCTTGGGTTCCAAGACTCCATGAATATAAGTCTTACCGGTGAGAATGATATGATAGAGTGGCTTGAAACCTCCAAATCTAGATACATCTAAGCACTTGTATTCGTCTGTCTGTCTGTCTGTCTGTCTCTCTCTCTCTCTCTGTCTCTCTCTCTCTCTCTCTCTCTCTCTCTCTCTCTCTCTCTCTCTCTCTCTCTCTATTTCTTTCACTCTCACACACATACACACACATGCTCGAGCACCCATATAATCACACACATAGATACTAATACATACGAAGCACCTTCAAGTGTCTTGCTCAGTTCCATCTTTAATTTCTTTCTGATATTACTTCATGGGGGCTCTCGTGGCCTAGAGGTTAAGGTGTTGGCCTCTCATTCAAAGGTCCAGGGTTCGATTCTGGGTAGCGACCAAAAAAATTTTCTTCTCTAAAATTGTCTCCTTTCACATCCTTTCCTGATCTCTAACAATGTTCTGTTGTCTGCTTTCCTTTCCACTTTCTGCCCCCACCCCCTCACATCCTTTGCCCTCTCCTCTGGGCTCCTGACTCTTTCTGCAGCCTTTCTACTGCTACTCCTTGGCTCCTCCTAACTGCTGTCTTTCTGCCACACCCCTGATCTTCTGGTAGGAAAGATCTACACCTAGCCTTCTCGGACAAGGGCAAAAAATCTCGGAGGGCCCGTGTGCAAGTTGCGCACGTTAAAAATCCCTTGGTGGTCTAAAATCGATAAGAGGAGGCTTCGGCCGCCACCCGGGCAAAATTCAAAATTTCCTACCAACGAAAAAGTATTAGGTGTGTCCCGCGCGCTCATATGACCTTATGCAGTTGCGAACGCCGTAAAACCCTATACTAAACAAACAATACTGATATTACTTCAGACCTACAGAGTACAAACAAAAGGGTCCAAGAACGTTGTAACCCTATATCTTACCTTCTCTTTGTCTCCCACTCTGTCTCTCTCAAGTTTCCTTTTGTTTCTCTCTGACTATCTCTGTCTCTGAACAGAAAGGAACTGCTGTACTATTCTCCTTATCGATAACCTGACCGGTCTATTTTATTTTGTTCCAAGAAGTTCATACCAGCATGTCACAGACACACACATACACGTATAAGTCTGCACATACACAAACACTCACACACACAGGCACACACACACATACATACAGACACGAGCACACGCATCTATCTATCTACATTTATCTATCTATCTATCTATCTATCTATCTATCTATCTATCTATCTATCTATCTATGCACACACACATACACATAGAAACCTACACAGACATACACACGTATACAAACTTACCCACAAATGCACACACATTCACAAACACACACACTGACACACTTACACACATACTTCAAGCGTTTCCAGAACAGTCTTTTTTGCAATTTCTTTTCAGGTTATTTATTGGATCTCTTTGAGCACCCACCGCCCGAACCAAAATGAATGAATTTTATCTGCCTCTCTTTATTTGTATATTATAATAATATGCTTTCCACGTTTCAGTTTTTGCCTCGAAAGATATGTATCTACATTCAAAATATAAACGCAAAAGTTATATACATTCCCAACTGATATTGGGCTCAGGGTACTAATTTTGAGTTACATACGTCGGAATCAAAATGAAGAAGCAAAGACTGTATTAAGATAACTTCAATTTGAGAAACAAAATCGTCATCATAGCAGTCATTGCGATATGTATGTCACTGCATTACGCTTACATTGCAGTATAAACATAATTATTTTCACAACAAATGAGATAACTCACAATAACGGGAGATGCAGTACTTCAATAGTTAAACTGAGACACATGAACATCTAATCTGAGATTCACATGTGTGGTGCATCGATGTCTGTTTTTTCGATTCCTTCATATTGTTTCTTACTCTAACAAGTGATCAGGTGCTCCGCTTTTAAAACACCACATTTGTGCATACTACTTGTATTGCGATGACGGATTCCGAAATTTGAAAAAAAATGTGTTCAGGTCTAACGGACGCAATCCTTTTCGACAATGGTGTAGAAATCAAGATAATGGGGGAAAAAACATAATACAATTTAAAAATCACCAACACAAACAGAAACTACACAGCTACTCAAAAATATTTTTTTCTGGTTTCAGGCCTTGCTGTATCCGACCTGTGCTCATTACTGCTCATGTTGTGGTGCAGTCTTAATAACAACCCGGTTATTGACAACTTTGGCCTGCCTGCTGTGCCTCATGATTTCGTACACTTGACTGGTGGCTGGCCACATGCTTGCTTCGTCAGGTAGGATATTAATTTCTTTGTATTACAGTTTAAAATTTCAGAGAGATCGCATTTTGCTTTTCCTCATTTTTGTGTCTCGGTATTAGTGGGTGATAATATCTTCTTGAGCCAAACAACGGCCTCGTGGATGGCTTACTTTAAATGAACTTTATCCACCCCTTTGTATCGTTAGATATCGAGGAGAGGTGTATTGTTCGGCCAATGGTTACGTGAGTTGCTTTTGTTGTTGATACGTTATTCTTTTAAAACCTTCATTATCATTAGGCCTACAATACTTTGGTTTAAAGGAAGTTAAAGATTATTTCCTATCTCCCTCACAATTTCATATCTCTGTAGATAGCATCGTCGTTTCCTTGAATGGATATACGTGCGGTAGCAACAAATGACATGGAAGCATCATAGAAGCGGAGTTCATTGCTGTTGCTTACCTTTGATGCCATTGCGTTGAAGCAAGTGTTTGGAGAAATCAAGGCACATGTAGAGAATTTTTTTTTCTAAACTTACAGTAGGCTAAACTCCTGCATGCCTCGTGTTTAATCTATTTTCGATGTGTTTCTGTCTGCTATCTATAACTTTCTCTTCAGCAGTTACTTTGGAAATATTTGTCCCACAGCAATGATACCCGCCCCCCTAAAAAAACAAAAAACCCCCCCAAAAAAACACAACAAAACAACACACCTTTTCACGCCACGGTTGAAGCCGTTTACATCATTCAAGGCTGCTCGACACACCTGCAGACAATCCTTCCTCCTACTCACCCGCACGCACAACCAAATCAAACATCTTTTTCATAAATATTTTAAACCACTTATTTAGTTTTTTGTTGAAATGATGAATCCACTAAACGTTTAATCTGTCCTATCTTTCCACAGAATTACTGGCTGCATTACCGCTTTCATCGCGTTCGAAAGATGCTTGTGTATCGCCTTACCTCTGAAGATCAAGAGGATTCTGACTCGACGAAGAACAAAGATCACAATTGTCTCTATCTTTATCCTCATGATTTGTGTCTTTTCCCCTTTCTACTACTCGACCAGACTGTCTTGGGTACTAGATCCAGTCAGAAACACCTCACTACTGTCAATAACCTTTGCTGAAGAAAGAGAAATTGTGGATTCCATTGTGTTTATGATCCAGGGCGTAATAATTAACACGTTTACCTTCATCACTGTCATCTGTTGCACCATCATTCTCGTTATTAAGTTGAACAGTAAGACAAAATGGCGTCAAGCCACGGCTTGCAAAGGACTCGGTGGAAAAGAGGAATTTGGGGCCAAAGAAAAAAAGGTTGTGAAGTCTGTCATCCTCATTTCCACAATCTTTATAGTTTGTTTCATGCCAGCGGCGGTGACTTTTCTTGCCATGTTTCTAGAACCAGAATTCAATGCTGGAGGGAAATATGAAAATTTATGTATTGCCGCTGCCTCATTTGTGTTCACAATGGAAACAGTTAATTCCAGTGTTAACATTTTTGTATATCTGAACATGAGCTCAAAGTACAGAGAAATGTTTATGACAATCTTCAAAAGGTAGTGGACCCTAGATTTAAAAAATCCAAACAAAATACAATCAATTTGGCGAGAATAAAGACAGAGTGTGTGAAGAGCTAGAAACAAAACTGATGTCGTCGCGGCTGGATAAATGGCAGGGGAAAGATCTTCTCCCACACAGCCTGTGCCGAATACTAGCCTACTGGTTTTGGTTCAGCAAGAGTTTTACAGCACTTACAACTGCACAAAGCCTATTCTTTGGTACGGACATGTTGCTTTAAAGAAGAAATCTGACCTCTGACCCCCAGATGAAAGAGGGCCATTGAAACCTTTTTATTGTCCAAAATGGCATATTGGAGGCCTAGAAAACAAAGTTAAGGTGCCTTATTTTGCATATAAAACTACTGAAGCCCCCCCTCCTGTTTCCCCATTTGTGCTATTTCTTTGCTCAGGTCAGTCTCTCTTTTGATAACGAAAAAGTTAATGTCCAACCACCCCACCCCCCCTCCCCGTGAAAAAAGAATAACAACAACAACAAAACCAAACAGACAACCCCCCACAAAAACAAACAAACCAAAAACATTATCAGCACCAGCAATAAGACATACAAAGAAAAGCATGAGAGAGGAGGGAGGAGGGAGAGGTATCTGTATGGAGAATGAATAAACAGAAGTCAAAACAGAACCACAGAGATAAACAATTCACAAATGAAACGATGACGCACAACGGGTGCCTATTCATCCCTGATAGACTGAAAGCTGTTGGGACACACTACTCTAATAGGGCATGAGAGGATATAACAGTGAATAGAGCGCTGTAACAGCGGCTAAGGGAACTAAGAACAACTCCGAGAGAGGCTCAAACCGATTTCACAATCACTCAGCGTCGTCGTCTCCAAAATAATAACCCGACGCCCCCCCCCCCCAATACCTTCCTTTTAAATACCAAGGTCCCGAAGCCCTAGAGAAGCTCATCACCATCATCTTCAACATGACCGTCTGCTCAGCAGACGTGCCACAAATGTGGAAGGACGCCATCATTGACAATCTTCTGAAATCTAGTAAACCAACAACCAACAATACACCTTGCGGACCAAAAAATCCTCAAGTTCTGTATCATTGAGACGATGATGCCCAAACGACTGCATGACTTGGCTGCCTGAAAAGGACAGTTTTCAAAACTACAGGCCGGTTTCTGAATGGGTGGAAGAGGTGTGGAAGACCAAAGTTAAAATACGGCTTCAGAGTGATCCTGCGTTTTATTTTTACTGTACCTTTGTAATTGTAGATAAGGTAATGACGTCATAACCATGATATTTGAACTGTTGAACTAGTTTGATTTTTTTTTAACCTTTACTTTTGGCACTACTAAAATGGTTTGTTTATCTTCTTTAAAGATATTACGGGATATTTTGTTTTATTGAAACATAAAACCATTATTTTCACTTTCGTCACAGCAACGGGCTATCTAGAAGCAATTAACGGCCTTCCTTTGAATTTGCAATTAAAACTGTTTCATCCGCATACAGATGTTATTGGTACTTTTTCCATTCTTTTTGAGACTTCGACATTTCTTTATATTGTGACAATGACCCTGTAGTATAGTCATGTTTAAGCATACCTGGATACTTGGAGGTGACATCTCTGACTCAGAGGTTGACGTGAAATGGCTATCTTTCACGATGGTGAAGTGCCGTTGCACATTCTGCCATATCCAAGCCAGTCTATGTTTAAACGTTGTCCATCTATGATATTTATCGCCTTCCTCTGGCTCTCCTGCCCTACATCTTTCCTTCAAGCACCTCTTTCACAATAGTCTTTGTCGTTTTAAGTGGCTGTAGTATTGTATTTTTCTACATTTTAGTTTGTTTAGCAGGGTTTGTCTTGTGTGTAGAATCCGACACACCTCTATGTTGGTCTTTTTGTTTTCCAACTTATTCTTGTCATTCTACGGTAGCATCACCTCTCAAACACTTTTGTTTTGTTTTCTTCGTTCCTTTTCAAAGTCCAGGTCTCTTCGCCATATTAGAATATGGGGAAGATGTAGCATGTTGTTTATCCAGAAGATTTTGATAGGACTATTGTTTTTGCTTTCTTGGCGTTTATGTCGAGGCCTGCCTTGTTACAGTTCACTTTTACTACTTTCACAATTTAGGAAAAAATATTCTTTCGTCAAAGCACCAATCCATAATATGAAAAAGACGTTTCCAAGGCAAGCCAAGCATTGAAATAAGCAATAGATTTAACTCCTTATAGGACATTACTAAGTCGGAAGAATTATGAGAATGATAAAGGTTTCGACATTTGAATCTGTTGAATACGCAACAACCCTCCGCCCCAAATAAAAAAACAACAACCCCCCCCAAAAAAAAAACAAAAACAACCAACAACAACAAAACAACAAAACAACAAAACAACAAAAACAAAACAAAAAAAAAAACAAACAAATAAATCCAAAACGAACACCGATGATAGCAAAAAACAAAGTGCATTATCCCTGGACATAACAAATCAAAGTAAAAAACGTACAATAAATAATATGTTTTGAACTGTCCCGCGGTAATTTGCAAATTGCAACACTAAAATTGGCAAAACTTTGCCCCCCAATATGCCAATATTTGCCCAAATTTACCAAGAAATCGGCATTCAGAATCCATACAGACAATTGCTGCTTACCCCATGAAACAGACATACTGAAAAAGACCTGCATTTTGGGGGGCTATTTTGAAAATTCATACATTCTTTTATCAAAAGAATATTAGAAAGCTTTATATAAACACCATCTTTACACAGGAATAGTTTATCAAGAAACATCACAATGGAACTGAAACTAAGGCTTGTGAACTGCAACATTATTCCAATCGTGTCCTATGTCGCGGAAACTTGGACAATGTACAAAAATTAAGTGAGCAAGATTGAGGCTCAGGAAATGTGGATCTTTCGTAGACTAGGCTGAATCAGCTGGAAAGACAAAATCCCAAATGAAGCTGTGATGCAAAGACGTAAAGTCAAAAGAGAAGTACTACGATACCCAAACGAAATCAGTAAAACTTACATACTGAGGGAACACCAAGCGCCATGACTCACTACAAAGGACAATTCTCACTGGTTGGATGAAAGGGAAAAGAGCTAGAGGCAGACAACGGGTTATTATAAACTGATGATGTAAAAGCCGGGATGGGTAACAGCTTGGCTATGTGCATGCTCAGATCACACAACTGAACTGGTTGGAGACTCATGGTAAGATGACCTCCGAAAGTCAGGGATGATTCCTAGGCAAGGCAAGGCAAGTCATGCATTTGAAAAATAAATCTGCAAAAAGAAAATACAATCAAATTTACATCCTTCTCGAGAGCAATGAAGTTATTGCAACATAGAAACACTAATGCCTTCAAGTTTTCTTTATTGAGGTGTCATCTCCTCCCAGAAAAAAAACAAGATTGTAAATCTACTGGTTGCTACAGTTAATGCTCCAACAGTGTACCAGTGTCAGCGGCAAAAACTAGTAGCATAAATTGAATAGTATTATAATAAAGATCTAGACTGCGAATTAAGTTCAGAACGAAGGGAAACAAACCTGGCAGACTTCCAAGGGCCTGATGTGAAATTTGAGTTCGAGAACGGCTCAAAAGAAGGAAAATATTTATGAAAACTACGATTTTTGTCAAATTTGCGGAAGTTTGCCGAGAGCTGAGAAATTTGCGGCCGCAAATTTGCATTTGCGACGGCGAAAAACCGAGATGACAGAATTTGGATGGTGAAATTAAGGAAACGTGTTATGAAGCAGAGGATACGTAGATACAATCAATGATCATTGCTAAGATAAATATTGAGAAGAAACTAAACAAGACAGCAAAATCCGCGAGTTACGAAATCTATTACTGGATGTACAGACTTAAACATAAGGTAAGGAACACTTGCAAACACTCTGAGTTGTCTTCTTGGATCGACCTGCACGTGGGCGTTCTTGGACTGATCTATTGGTCTGATGGCACTGCCTCAAGCGGACAACGTCCGAATGTGACACTGCAAACCTTCTAAAAAATTCTCTGGCTCCAACTCCATCCTGCAGCCATGTCATAGCTCTGGCATGATCAAAGTCTCTCAGCTTTCGTCTCCGTGCCATATTGATGCGATACTGGATTTTGCGCAGACGGCCGCTTATATTGCCACCAAAGTGAGCACAGTTCGAGACCATACGTCCGTTTGTGACGTGCACCAGAAATGTTAACTGAGAAATGTCCGTGGTGTTGCACACAAGTCGATAAAAAAACAGCAAATTTGGCCAAAATTCCCCGAGGATTTCCATGCTGCACCTGGTGGTTATGCCCTTTAAGGAAGCTTTGCAGTACGCATTGGTAACCCATTAACACTTTCAGACAAAACAATTTGAAACATTCCTTGCAGGCTTTTCTCGGAATGAAAAAATAACACAGGGCTGTCAGTTAAGGTGGTCCTTAACTTATGTTGAAGTCTGCATCATTATCAGAGCAGCACACAGTTACCAAACAAAGTAAATCTCTACATGACAATTCAGGAACAGATTTCTTATTTTTCTCAAACTAAGGGAGGATACCAAAAGAATATCAAATCTGTTTCAGTTGCATAATTCTCTCCCTTGACTAGCTCAGTTTTCATTCACCCATTAAAAAAAATTATGTCCGACCCCCCCCCCCCCTCTTCCTTCTCTTTTCTTTTTCTCTCACTCACTCTCGCTCCCCTGCCACCCTCCCTCCCTCTCTCTCTCTCTCTCTCTCTCTCTCTCTCTCTCTCTCTCTCTCTCTCTCTCTCTCTCTCTCTGTCTCTGTCTTCCCGTATCCTCCCCGCCCACCCAAGCTGAAAACCTTAAACAAAATTACAGCACATAAAGAAGAGCAGCCGCCCCCCCCCTCTTTCAAAAAGAACCAACAGAAAACCCCCCAAACCCTCCAACCCCCTCCACCCCAAAAAAACAAAAACAAAAAAACAACAACAACCGAACACGCAACACCCCCCTCCTCCCCCCAAAAAAACCCAACAACAAACAAACAAAAAAACAACAAAA